AAGACCGATGTTGTAGATATAAGTTATACACCAGGCATTACGTGATATATATGTATATCGTCCTGTAGGACCGATGTTGTAGATATAAGTTATACACCAGACATTACGTGATATATATGTATATCGTCCGGTAAGACCGATGTTGTAGATATAATTTATACACCAGGCATTATGTGATATATATGTAGATTGTCCTGTAAGATCGATGTTGTAGATATAAGTTATACACCAGGCATAACGTGATATATATGTATATCAGGCTGATGTTGCTCTTGAAGGTTGATGTTGACTAAGTACATGAGACCTCAAGCTTAATTGTTGCCATCAATTTTACAATTGTATATAACGATGTAACTTTTGTATATAACAATGTTACTATGATATATAGCAATTTAACTGTTGTATATAACAATGTAATATATAACAATGTAACTGTTGTATATAACAATGTTAACAATGTAACTGTTTTATATAATAATGTAACTGTTGTATATAACAATGTAACTGTTGTATATAACAAAGATTACTTACCTCTGGATTACTGACTTCGTTAGGAAGGACATCTTTAATAAAGTCCGTTAAGCTTTCTTTTTCATGAGTTACGTAAGGTTCGAGTTCGAGACCCTCTTCTTCGACAGGAGTAAATGTTCCTGCAAGGTACATCAAATAGACCATAATTGTCCAAGTTCAATCACAAATGGACTTCATTGTTGCTTGAATCAAATGCCTCACCCCGAAAAGGCATTGGACTTGAGCATGGTCTAGTACTACTACAAATAAGATATGTCTTGCAGCACTAGCAATACCGTCATCTTTTTATAGAAAGAACCATTTTTTTTTGTAAAATAATATAAATGTGTTCTTATAATATTTCTTATAACATACTTTTCTTCTAATAATTTCAATCTCAAATGAATATCTCGAATCATATATAAAAGTAGGATTTAGAGAGGTGTATTGAGCTGTAAAGAATGGCAGGTACAAACCACTACAGGCTCGCAGTAGTGTGCAGACACTCGAGGGGTCAAATCCAGTCTCCAGTAGCTGGACAATCCGTGGAGCGTAAGTCATGCACTGTAATAAAGCAGGTCACGAGTTATAATCTTTGTAATAAATACACAAATAATGCAACAGATTAGAAGGAATACAAATGTCATGATCAACACATCAACTACAGAATCCCTCTCCTAAAATATAAATGACAAGGGAAAAATGATCAAGAAAACATGGGTTTCAGTCTTAACACGTACAGAAGGTAAAAGTCGCAGAGTTTCTGACTTACATAGTTTTTTAAGGCACCCGGTACCTCCCCACATAGCTGGTAAATAGTGGAGTTGATGACCTCTTCAGAACGGTTATTGACTAGGACCTGGTCCAGTTCATCTACCAGTGCTTTGCACAATTCACATTCCAGTGTACCGGCCTGATCAGTGAAAGTGAGAAAATACATATATGAAGCCTTGTGACAGCGTGATATCATCCTTGATTCTGTGACATTTATTGTAAATAATAAAAGATAACGTTTCAGCTTTGTGTACCCATTTATACAGCTTGATAGACTTGAGTTAATAGTGTAAGTATATTGCTCAATGACACGCTATATATATTATATATACAGTGTAGTGAGATTTATTCAGGGGAGTATCAATTTGAACATTGTTGCTAACCTCGATATTCTCAGGCTCGTCTTGCTCTTCGGTTGAAAAAGTGGCTAGAACAAAAAGAAAATATCAATTGTGTATTCAAAATGTTATTTATCTAAATAAGGTCTTTTTTTTTAGACCAGCGAAAAACACATTCCATTTTTCACACAAGATATAATGTATTTTATAATTTCGACAAGAGATGAATGTATCCTTAATTATCGATTTTATACTAGTAGTTTATACAATCTCTATTTACATGTATGCTTAAGTGGGCCACTCACTCTACTCAGTTTTACATACACCTAATACACTTTTACTTGACTTTCAAAAAAGCTATGCTCCAAACATAAAACTATAGAATGTTGACTCTGCCGTACTCCAGAGAAGCCGTTTGACCAAATAAGCAGTATATTTTACATGATTCGTGACAATAGCATTTCATATTTAAACATGACTCATTTCACTAACAGATTATATTTGACATGATTTCAGGCACCAGCACAATACTAGTACTTTTACATCTTTAGCATTATAAACGTTCCTAGCAGATCATCTTTTACATTATTCACGGTACTAGTAGATTATTTTTTACATTATAAACGTTTCTAGCAGATTATATTTTACATTATAAACGTTTCTAGCAGATTATATTTTACATTATTCACGTTACAAGCAGATTATATTTTACATTATAAACGTTTCTAGCAGATTATATTTTACATTATTAACGTTTCTAGCAGATTATATTTTACATTATAAACGTTTCTAGCAGATTATATTTTACATTATTCACGGTACTAGCAGATTATATTTTACATTATAAACGTTTCTAGCAGATTATATTTTACATTATACACGTTTCTAGCAGATTATATTCTACATTATAAACGTTTCTAGCAGATCATATTTTACATTATAAACGTTTCTAGCAGATCATAATTTACACGATTTACAGAACTAACAGATTATATCTTGCATGATTTCAAACACAAACAGAATATCTTTTACATGATTTACAGCACTAGCCCTATCGTTAGTGAAGGTTTATGTAATTTACATTCAGATGTGACACATTATATTCTATATCATTTAACGTAGTTAGCGACATTCACCTAGACTAGGAACAAAAATAAACAAATAAATGCTGATTATATTCGTAAAGATTCCGAATCAGTGAAGCATTAATAGTATCAAATTACATTGTCAACGTCACTAGCAGATTATCTTTTACATGATTAACGGCACAAGCTGATTTTACAGCATAATATTAACTTCACGTTAAGATGTGACACGTTATGTTGTATACCCTTTACCGTAGTCAGAATAATTCACTTAAGATAGGTAAAACAGACATGTAGAATTGTTACTTAAGATGGGTAAAACAGACATGTAGAATTGTTATTTGACATGGGTAAAACAGACATGTGGAATTGTTACTTAAGATGGGTAAAACAGACATGTAGAACTGTTACTTAAAATGGGTAAAACAGACACGTAGAATTGTAACTTAAGATGGGTAAATCAGACATGTATAATTGATAACTAAGATGGGTAAAACAGACATATGAAGAATTGTTACTTAACATGGGTAAAAGCAGACATGCAGAATTGTTACTATAGATGGGTAAAACAGACGTGTAGAATTGTTACTTAAGATGCGTAAAACAGAGATGTAGAATTGTTACTTAAGATGGGTAAAACAGACATGTAGAATTGTTACTTAACATGGGTAAAACAAACATGTAGAATTGTTACTTAAGATGGGTAAAACAGACATGTAGAATTGTTTACAATAGAAGACGTCTTTACCTGACTATTGTAAGAATGGTGAATATGATACATACCACTACATGCTCGAATCAATTTGCAGACGATTGAGCTATCGAAGCCGTTCTCCAGTAACTTGACAACTTGTGGGGCGTAGGTGAAACACTGTAAGTAAACGGTAGGTGACAGGCCACATGGTACTGGTGTAACAATCATACAACTAAACGTATGAAATTTTCAACATGATTCATCAGTTCGGAAATATATAATGTCAAAATTTTACTTCATACACAAACAATGTATTGCACGCTTTAAATGACACTTGCCTACAAGGAGTTTTGCCTATCTACCCCCTTCTCTCCCGTTTAAGTCAATAGTGGGTCATACATATTACTTAAAGTAAGAATAAACAACACCAATTTAACTAGAAACACACCGAAGACATCTGGCACTGTGTACATTAAATTGGCATAAACAGATCACGGTAAAACCGAAAATCACATCATCAATTGCGACAATGCTAAAATAGTTGAAAGAGAATAACATACAAAACGATACAAATCAGAGACGCAGTCAAAATAACCTCAAAACATGAACAGAGACGAGGGGGCATCAGTTAATGCATATGTATGACCTACTATTGATCTAAACGGGAGAAGGGCTAAATCTACACCAAACCAGTAACCTATTCGCTACAGTGTGTACTCATTCTCTATCGATAGGTAAAGTTCCCCGCAGTCGAGCGACAAATTAAGTTTATACTTCCGTCATATCGTTGTACATGCAAACAATGCAATTCACTCTTTCAGTCATAGATCAAAACGTACAATGAAAGTGTATAGAGAAACAGTTTCACAATATCGTTATAGAAGTACAGAAAAATGGCATACAATTCCTTATCTGCTATCAATTAAATGACCATCATTATAAGTTTGAAACAATCGTAAACAGCTTCCACTTCCCACACACACAAGGTGCATTTGGGGAGGCCAAAGCAATAGAATCTTTGACTTACAAAGTTTGTCAGAGCGCCAGGTGCGTCCGAGCATAGGTTGTACACGGTGGCATTGATGACCTCGTCAGTCTGATTGGTTACAATGACCTTGTTGAGTTCAATCACGAGTATTTTACAAAGCTCACATTCCAGTGGATTAGCCTGATATATAAGAAAGAACAAATACATATATGAAGCCTTGTGGCAGCGTGAGGTCATCCTTGATTCTGTGACATTTATTGTAAATAATAAAAGATAACGTTTCAGCTTTGTGTACCCATTTATACAGCTTGATAGACTTGAGTTAATAGTGTAAGTATATTGCTCAATGACACGCTATATATATTATATATACAGTGAAGTGAGATTTATTCAGGGGAGTATCAATTTGAACATTGTTGCTAACCTCGATATTCTCAGGCTCGTCTTGCTCTTCGGTTGAAAAAGTGGCTAGAACAAAAAGAAAATATCAATTGTGTATTCAAAATGCTATTTATCTAAATAAGGTCTTATTTTTTAGACCAGCGAAAAACACATTCCATTTTTCACACAAGATATAATGTATTTTATAATTTCGACAAGAGATGAATGTATCCTTAATTATCGATTTTATACTAGTAGTTTATACAATCTCTATTTACATGTATGCTTAAGTGGGCCACTCACTCTACTCAGTTTTACATACACTTAATACACTTTTACTTGACTTTCAAGAAAGCTATGCTCCAAACATAAAACTATAGAATGTTGACTCTGCCGTACTCCTGAGAAGCCGTTTGACCAAATTAGCAGTATATTTTACATGATTCGTGACAATAGCATTTCATATTTAAACATGACTAATTTCACTAACAGATTATATTTGACATGATTTTAGGCACCAGCACAATACTAGTACTTTTACATCTTTAGCATTATAAACGTTTCTAGCAGATCATATTTTACATTATTCACGGTACTAGTAGATTATTTTTTACATTATAAACGTTTCTAGCAGATTATATTTTACATTATAACGTTTCTAGCAGATTATATTTTACATTATTCACGGTACTAGCAGATTATATTTTACATTATAAACGTTTCTAGCAGATCATATTTTACATTATAAACGTGTCTAGCAGATCATATTTTACATTATAAACGTTTCTAGCAGATCATATTTTACACGATTTACAGAACTAACAGATTATATCTTGCATGATTTCAGACACAAACAGAATATCTTTTACATGATTTACAGCACTAGCCCTATCGTTAGTGAAGGTTTATATAATTTACATTCAGATGTGACACATTATATTCTATATCATTTAACGTAGTTAGCGCCATTCACCTAGACTAGGAACAAAAATAAACAAATTCCGAAACAGGGAAGCATTAATAGTATCAAATTACATTGTCAACGTCACTAGCAGCCTATCTTTTACATGATTACCAGCACAAGCTGATTTTACAGCATAATATTAACTTCACGTTAAGATGTGACAGGTTATGTTGTATACCCTTTACCGTAGTCAGAATAATTCACTTAAGATAGGTAAAACAGATTTCATACACAAACAATGTATTGCACGCTTTAAGACATGTAGAATTGTTTCTTAAGATGGGTTAAAGCAGACATGTAGAATTGTTACTATAGATGGCTAAAACAGACATGTAGAATTGTGACTTAAGATGGGTAAAACAGACATGTAGAATTGTTACTTAAGATGGGTAAAACAGGCATGTCGAATTGTTTACAATAGAAGACGTCTTTACCTGACTGGTGTAAGAATGGTGAATATGATACATACCACTACATGCTCGAATCAATTTGCAGACGATTGAGCTATCGAAGCCGTTCTCCAGTAATTTGACAACTTGTGGGGCGTAGGTGAAACACTGTAAGTAAACGGTAGGTGAAACACTGTAAGTAAACGGTAGGTGACAGGCCACATGGTACTGGTGTAACAATCATACAACTAAACGTATGAAATTTACAACAGGATTCATCAGTTCGGAAATATATAATGTCAAATTTTATTTCATACACAAACAATGTATTGCACGCTTTAAATGACACTTGCCTACAGGGAGTTTTGCCTATCTACCCCCTTCTCTCCCATTTAAATCAATAGTGGGTCAAACAACACCAACTTAACTAGAAACACACCGAAGACATCTGGCACTGTGTACATTAAATCGGCATAAACAGATCACGGTAAAACCGAAAATCACATCATCGATTGCGACAATGCTTAAATAGTTGAAAGGGAATAACATACAAAGCGATACAAATCAGAGACGCAGTCAAAATAACCTCAAAACATGAACAGAGACGAGGGGGGCATCAGTTAATGCATATGTATGACCTACTATTGATCTAAACGGGAGAAGGGCTAAATCTACACCAAACCAGTAACCTATTCGCTACAGTGTGTACTGATTCTCTATCGATATGTAAAATTCCCAACAGTCGAGCGACTAATAAAGTTTATACTTTCGTCATATCGTTGTACATGGAAACAATACAATTCGGTCTTTCAGTCATAGCTTGAAAAGGGGAGTCTTGAAATGTTGCAAAGCGTTTAATATGTACAATGATAGTATATAGATAAACAGTTTCACAATATCGTTATAGAAGTACAGAAAAATGACACACAATTCCTTATCTGCTATCAATTAAATGACCATCATTATAGGTTTGAAACAAACGTAAACAGCTTCAACTTCCCACACACACAAGATGCATTTGAGGAGGCCAAAGCAATAGAATATTTGACTTACAAAGTTTGTCAGAGCGCCAGGTGCGTCCGAGCATAGGTTGTACACGGTGGCATTGATGACCTCGTCAGTCTGATTGGTTACAATGACCTTGTTGAGTTCAATCACGAGTATTTTACAAAGCTCACATTCCAGTGGATTAGCCTGATATATAAGAAAGAACAAATACATATAAGCCATGCATGATTGAATGTCCTTTCCAACTCGACCCATTAATTCTATTTTAATGAATTTTGTTTATTTTGATACTATGTATTTCCCAATATAATAAAACACAACTTTTCATTCTCAAACTTTTTCACCGCATTACTTTATTTCAGTCTTCCAACAAAGCGTATGTATACCTGAATACTCTCATCTTCCTCGTTCGGGATGGTTTCCATCTTTCCTTCAAACAACTCCGCCGTCTCTTCGTACATCACTGGCTCTTTGTGAGTATTAGATCCAGCCTTCTTACCGTCACACACGCCTCGGATCTCGAGACACACCTTCTCACCCATCTGTCAAATAATTCAGGTAAGAATCGCTAAATATTGAAAATAATATCACCACTAGAAGGAAATATAATGGGATCAAACATTTTAACTTTGAAAAATTCAAGTCATACATAAGAACCTTTTCAGCTATCAACTTATAAAATAATACAACCAATATGCCCTCAATAAAAAAAGCAAGACACAAAAACCAACGACACCTTACAAAAGGGAACGAAGGACTCCATAACACGAAGGAAAAGACAAACAGATGAACCAGAGGCTCAACAACACAAAAGGCATGCTATTTATGTGAACCATGTGGACATTATGTATTTACCTTCCCAAGGGCCTCCTTCATGGATGACTGACAAAGGTCACAGGTCAAGCTTCGGATGTTTACTATTCCATCAGCTGCATGGTCAAATGGAAAACTTTGTAAAGTGATACAATAAAGCTGAGAAAACCCTATCTTATGGTTTATGGATATCAAAGTATCAAGTTTAGCTTAATGAAATCATATATATATATATATACGAACAAATTAATGAATCTAATAGAGTCCATTATATTTAGAAAATATGCATACTGTATTTCCTACGAATGCCACCTGGATTGCTGGAAACAGTTCAGTACTTATATTGAGCATTTTGAAATATCAGAGAATATCTTATTTTTTTATCATAATCTCATAATTTAGTTCCAGTAATGGTCTGGATTTGGGATGTGTTGGCATTGCAAGAAGAATGTCTTTAATGTCTTACTAGCTTGTCATGTTGTATTTACTTCATTTTGCTTTCGTTTATATACTAATATTTATTAAAATATCCCAAAACATCTGTTATGGAGAAATTTCTTACTTGATTGGCAAACCTTTATGGCCATACATCCCTTCTCTGGATCAACTCCTTTCTCCAAGATGTTCAATATGGCAGGGGCAAGCGACTTGCACTGTTGATGAAACACAGAAAATAATATTAAATCACTTGACGTAAACAAAGGCTTATTTAATGCATTTAACACAAATCGTAAACCTCTAATACTATATAAACTTAACAAATGTGTACATGGTCGAAGTATGCTGTTCAGTGTCCACTGTCCCCGTTTAGGAATTGATGACTTACAAAATTTGACAGTTCAGCTGGAAGACCCGCGCAGATTTGCATGATGGTATTATTGATGGCTGCCTCGGTTTGGTTGGTTGCTATGTAAGCGTCCAAGATCTGGATGAGGAACTCGCAAATCTCACAGGTCTCGTTACTGGCAAGCTGTTTAAGTAGAGTTAACACAATTATTTTGGAACTCAATGTAATAACAGTTTATCAACGTGCATATTAATTTTCACCTTATATTTGACACAAAGTTTTAAATCTTAACTGTATTTACACTGGTTTCAAAACATAGTTTCACCACTTTTTATTTGTTAATAATAATATTGTGATACATTTAATGTGAACTGTTGATATGACAATTCTCTTACTGAAGCTGAGGCTGAGTCTATAGATATTTTTACCTGCATTAAATTATATGTGTTCTCTAAATTGCACCAGAAGTTGTGGAATTAGTTACAGGTTTAATAATATTACTATCATCCTTTCATATACATAAGAATGGGAAATTGGTTAAAGTATTTAAAAAAGGAGGTTAACGAAGAGAAGAGGAAGAGGCTAAAGCTGAGCACAACAACATGCCTGCCTAGCTGTGTGCGTCGTAACGCACAAACAGTGTTTCTTTTTATCAAACTGTTAAACATGTTTTGGATTAGGGGTGTCAATTAAAAATGTAGTGTACTAATGAACTTGCAGCTAGGTATTATAGCTATAACAACCACATTACCGTCACATCAGGGTAGCTTTTCCCTCTGGGTTGAATAGTGTCAGTCTGAGGTACATGTCACAATGGTAGCTCTGTGTTTAGGAAGACTGAACATATCATTGTGAAATATACCTCAGTTACATCACACCACCTTCAGAGAGAGGTTTTAGATAAGTATGGTAGAATTCAGGAAGTTTACCTTTGGTTTCATGTTGACCGGCTTGCCTTTCCTGCCATTGTAAGGGTGTAACAACTGTGGAATGACATTCCCTAACTCATAATTTATCATATATTCCATCTCTGAATCTTCCGGAATTTCATTGCTGAATTCGTCTTTAATTTCCAGTCCCTTTGTAACTTCATTACTAATGTCCTTCTCTGTATTAGTGCACACCTTTAATTCCAAACATGCCGCTTTTGGGTCCTGAAAATTATCATTTGTACCAGCTTTATGTTGCAATATAAGATATGTACACTTCACTGTAAGTATACCCCATTATATTTAACCGTAAGTATAACACAGTACACTTCACTGTAATTATACCACATTATATGTAACCGTAAATATACCCTAATGCAGTTCACTGTAAGTATACCCCATTATATTTAACCGTAATTACATCCCATTATGTTTAACCGTCAGTACACCACAATACACGTCATCGTTAGTATATCCGAAGACACTTCACTGTAAGTATACCCCATTATATTAAACTGTAAGTATACCCCAGTACACTTCACTGTAAGTATACCCCTCTATATTTAACCGTAATTATACCCTAATACAGTTCACTGTAAGTATACCCCTCTATATTTAACCGTAAGTATACCCAGTACACTTGACTGTAATTATACCCCATTATATCTAACCGTAATTACACCCCAGTACACTTCACTGTAAGTATACCCCTTTATATTTAACCGCAAATTTACCCCAGTACACTTCACTATAATTATACCCCATTATATTTATCCGTAAGTTTACCCCAATACACTTCACTGAAAGAATTCCCCATTATGTTTAACCGTAAGCATACCCCAGTACACTTCACTGCAAGTATTCCCCTTTATATTTATCCGTAAGTATACCCCAATACACTTCACTGAAAGAATTCCCCATTATGTTTAACCGTAAGCATACCCCAGTACACTTCCCTGTAAGTATACCCCCTTATATTTAACCGCAAGTATACCACAGTACACTTCACTGTAAGGATTCCCCTTTATATTTATCCGTAAGTTTACCCCAGTACACTTCACTGTAAATATCCCCTTTATATTTAACCGTAAGTATACCCCAGTACACTTCACTGTAAGTATTCCCCTTTATATTTAACCGTAAGTTTACCCCAGTACACTTCACTGTAAGTATTCCCCATTATGTTTAACCGTAAGTATACCCCAGTACACTTCACTGTAAATATCCCCTTTATATTTAACCGTAAGTATACCCAGTACACTTCACTGTAAGTATACCCCTTTATATTTAACCGTAAGTTTACCCCAGTACACTTCACTGTAAGTATACCCCATTATATTTAACTGTAAGTATACCCTAGTCCACTTCATCGTTAGCACATCCAAAGACACTTCACTGTTAATATCCAAAAGTACACCTCAAACAGAATTTGTTCAAATCGTATTGAGCTGACAGCAGTGGAGTTTTGACCTTCAGTCAGTATAACATCTGTGTTTCTATGTAGGTATACTCCAGTATACCTCACTGTAAGTACACATCAGTACACTTCATTGTACATGTAAGTACACTTCGGAAATATTCACGCCCAATCACACTTCACTGTAAGTACACATCAGTACACTTCATTGTACATGTAAGTACACCTCAGAAATATTCACGCCCAATCACACTTCACTGTAAGTACACATCAGTACACTTCATTGTTCTTGTAAGTACAACTCAGAAATCTTCACGCCCAATCACACTTCACTGTAAGTACACCCAATCACACTTCACTGTAAGTACACATCAGTACACTTCATTGTTCTTGTAAGTACAACTCAGAAATCTTCACGCCCAATCACACTTCACTGTAAGTACACATCAGTACACTTCACTGTACATGTAAGTACACCCACTCATTCTTCATTGTACATGTAAGTACAACAACTCATTCTTCACTGTACATGTAAGTACACCCACTCATTCTTCATTGTACATGTAAGTACACCCACTCATTCTTCATTGTACATGTAAGTACACCCACTCATACTTAACGTAAGTACACCCAAGTACACTTAACTGCACAAGTAAGTTTACCCAAGAACACTTCACTGTACATGTAAGTACACCCAAGTAATTTAATTGTACATGTAACTACACTCCATATACACTTCATTGTGAGTACACCCAAGTACATTTAACTGTACATGTAAGTACACCCAATCACATTTAACTGTATATGTTACACTTAACTAGTACAGTCCACCACATCCTTGTAAGTAAATCCCAGTACACTTAACTAGTAAAGCCCACCACATCCTTGTAAGGACATCCCAGTACACTTAACTAATACAGCCCACCACATCCACCCAATCGCACTTCACTGTAAGTACACCCAATCGCACTTCACTGTAAGTACACATCAGTACCCTTCATTGTTCTTGTAAGTACAACTCAGAAATCTTCACGCCCAATCACACTTCACTGTAAGTATTCCCCATTATGTTTAACCGTAAGTATACCCCAGTACACTTCACTGTAAGTATACCCCTGTATATTTAACCGTAAGTATACCCCAGTTCACTTCACTGTAAGTATTCCCCATTATGTTTAACCGTAAGTATACCCCAGTTCACTTCACTGTAAGTATACCCCTTTATATTTAACCGCAAGTATACCCCAGTACACTTCACTGTACATGTAAGTACACCTCAGAAATATTCACGCCCAATCACACTTCACTGTAAGTATTCCCCATTATGTTTAACCGTAAGTATACCCCAGTTCACTTCACTGTAAGTATACCCCTTTATATTTAACCGCAAGTATACCCCAGTACACTTCACTGTACATGTAAGTACACCCGATTACATTTAACTGTATATGTTACACTTAACTAGTACAACCCACCACATCCTTGTAAGGACATCCCAGTACACTTACCTAGTACAGCCCACCACAATACCCCTCTATATTTAACCGTAGGTATACCCAGTACACTTGACTGTAATTATACCCCATTATATTTAACCGTATGTATACCCCAGTACACTTCACTGTAAGTATTCCCCATTATGTTTAACCGTAAGTATACCCCAGTTCACTTCACTGTAAGTATTCCCCATTATGTTTAACCGTAAGTATACCCCAGTACCCTTCACTGTAAGTATACCCCTGTATATTTAACCGTAAGTATACCCCAGTACCCTTCACTGTAAGTATACCCCATTATATTTAACCGGAATTACATCCCATTATGTTTAACCGTAAGTATACCCCAGTACCCTTCACTGTAAGTATACCCCATTATATTTAACCGGAATTACATCCCATTATGTTTAACCGTAAGTATACCCCAGTACCCTTCACTGTAAGTATACCCCATTATATTTAACCGGAATTACATCCCATTATGTTTAACCGTAAGTATACCCCAGTTCACTTCACTGTAAGTATACCCCTTTATATTTAACCGTAACTTTACCCCAGTATACTTCACTGTAAGTATACCCCTTTATATTTAACCGTAACTTTACCCCAGTATACTTCACTGTAAGTATACCCCTTTATATTTAACCGTAACTTTACCCCAGTATACTTCACTGTAAGTATACCCCATTATATTTAACCGTATGTATACCCCAGTACACTTCACTGTAAGTATACCCCTGTATATTTAACCGTAAGTATACCCCAGTACACTTCACTGTACATGTAAGTACACTTCGGAAATATTCACGCCCAATCACACTTCACTGTAAGTACACCCAATCGCACTTCACTGTAAGTACACCCAATCACATTTATCTGTATATGTTACACTTAACTAGTACAACCCACCACATCCTAGTAAGTTATTATTCAGTGAAGTACTCCCTGTAATCCGGTACACCGGTACATTTCACTATCCGTTATTATTGAGTGAAGTACTCCCGGATAATGCGGTACACCCAGTACACTTAACTAATACAGCCCACCACATCCTTGCTGTAAGTATACCCCATTATATTTAACCGTATGTATACCCCAGTACACTTCACTGTAAGTATACCCCATTATATTTAACCGTAAGTATACCCCAGTTCACTTCACTGTAAGTATACCCCATTATATTTAACCGTATGTATACCCCAGTACACTTCACTGTACATGTAAGTACACCCAATCGCACTTCACTGTAAGTACACCTCAGTACACTTCATTGTACATGTAAGTACACCCAATCACATTTATCTGTATATGTTACACTTAACTAGTACAGACCACCACATCCTTGTAAGTACATCCCAGTACACTTAACTAGTACAACCCACCACATCCTTGTAAGTTATTATTCAGTGAAGTACACCCGGATAATCCGGTACACCGGTACATCCCACTACACGTTATAATTCAGTGAATTACACCCGGTAATCCGGTACACCGGTACATTTCACTATACGTTATTATTCAGTGAAGTACACCCGGATAATGCGGTACACCGGTACATCCCACTACACGTTATTTTTCAGTGAAGTACACTCGGTAATCCGGTACACCGGTACATTTCACTATACGTTATAATTCAGTGAAGTACACCTGGTAATCCGGTACACCGGTACATCCCACTACACGTTATTATTCAGTGAAGTACACCCTGTAATCCGGTACACCGGTACATTTCACTATACGTACACTCCAGTACACATCACTATAAATACAATGCAGTATACTTCAATTATTAAATTATAGCCCATACATCAATCAGCACATTTCTAACACCCAGCACCTCTTTCAAACCTCCAACCCCCCTCCCCTCCAACTCCCATCCATTCTATATCCAAATCCTAGCACTAAATCTCCCCCCTCCCCTCCCCACGTGTTTCATCTTTTCCCATACTAATAATCACACTATACACTAAAAACTAGAAATGTCGGAACGAGGAGCAGAATTAAGTGAAAGACAAGTCGAGGTATCTAAGAAAGATGACATTGGTATAAGTTCAGTCAAGTATATAATCAGTGAAGAATGATGAAGAAAGGAATTCAAGGAACGGACACCAAAAAAA